ACTCGTTAATCCTGCTACTAGCGCATCTGGTGAGCGGTCGTTCTCAACTGCACGAAGAGTAAAATCTTGGCTCCGATCAACAATGACACAAGCCAGATTTAATCATTTAACTGTTCTTCATTCCCATAAGGAAAGACTTGACAAGTTGTGCTTGACATCTGTGGCAAACGCTTTTGTGGAGTTGAATGACCATCGTCAAAGAAACTTTGGAAAGTTTAAGGACGAGGACTTTCTGTCTTTCATGCAGCCCAAATAATGTAATAGCTGATTTTATACAACTTTTCAGTAAAATCAGACGTTTTGATTGGTTGGCTTTCGTGTGTTGTCAAAGTATAGATACACAGATTACGTCAAAACTAATTGTTTGTTGTATAAAACAGATAGATCTCATTTTTCCGTGCGTGTGTACTCTAATAGATACACAGATGACGTCAAAATGTAGTGAGAACGAAAAAGTACGCACGAGACGCAGTCGAGTGCGTGACTGTTGTTCTCGCTACATTTTGACGTCACCTGTGTATCTATTAGAGTACACACGCACGGAAAAATGAGATCTATCTGTTTTATACAACAAACAATTAGTTTTGACGTAATCTGTGTATCTATACTTTGACAACACACGAAAGCCAACCAATCAAAACGTCTGATTTTACTGAAAAGTTGTATAAAATCAGCTATTACATTATTTGGGCTGCATGAAAGACAGAAAGTCCTCGTCCTTAAACTTTCCAAAGTTTCTTTGACGATGGTCATTCAACTCCACAAAAKCGTTTGCCACAGATGTCAAGCACAACTTGTCAAGTCTTTCCTTATGGGAATGAAGAACAGTTAAATGATTAAATCTGGCTTGTGTCATTGTTGATCGGAGCCAAGATTTTACTCTTCGTGCAGTTGAGAACGACCGCTCACCAGATGCGCTAGTAGCAGGATTAACGAGTGTATACGTAATTTGCTCTGCTTTTTGACGTTTATTCTTGTTTTCCTGTTGTCAAACTCGAACAATTTTTATAAAAAGAGGAGGCTGAGAACATTTATTTATTCCTATGCGATTACAACGGTATCATGTATCGGTATCACGCTCGTAATAATCATGGAAATTCAATAGACGGTGAGATTACGAACCAATTTTGTCAGATTCAAACAACGGTGTAAAATTTGTTTATCAAGGATTTTTGTAAGCCTAAAAAGTGTGTGTGTGGGGGGGGGCTATAGCCCCCCTAGCCCCCCCGGCTCCGACGTCCCTGTATAATCGAAAAATGCGCGCACGCAAAAGTTGTCTTTACGACACTGAATAGCGTGATGATCTCAACGTGGGTTTAATCAAGATGGCTTCTAACTAATTTACATATAATCACTTGATCTTACATCATCCCCTCAATGTAATGAAATTTTCAAAGTTCCTATGCTGATGCGCACTCAAGTTCAAAATAAAGACTTTTAGCCTATGAAAATCGTTTTCTAGTGAAATACTTCTTATAGTTAACAATAATATTAGAGCATGCTGAATAAAAATGGAGCTCAAAATCCCTTTTCCAGTAAAAACATTTGTGCAAGAATGAACTAAAGTCCATTTTCCCGACACATTCGAGAGATCACATACATTTCCGTTGGAAATTTTAGAATATTTGAAAGGCCGTAACTCGTTCACTATTGCACTTATTTGCATCAAATTTTGGAATTTTGCATTTCTCAACAAGGGCTTTCTTTCTTATCTCATGATTATCCAATTAGGGGATTTTGCCCAGTCCCCACTCGACTTGAAACCCGGCAATGTGATGATCTCAACGTGGGTTTAATCAAGATGGCTTCTAACTAATTTACATATAATCACGTGATCTTACAAATAGCATGGTGACTCACTTCGAGTAGTTCGTCTTTAGATCGTGTATTTCATCTCTTTCTGTTATGAATTGATCGATTTCCTGCATAAACCTTCCAATAAAGAACACCATGATGAACCATTCCAGAACACTTAATCGTAGACCTGACGGCTGTACACACACAGCAATATGAAGCATAAGTAATGCTACATAGCTCAGGGTGTCTCGAACAAATACGAAATATGGGATGTGAAAGCGTTTTGTGTATCGCCCTGAAGAAGAAATAGTTGTATTTTTATTACACAACATTTAATAAATTAAGTCAAACAGGGACCGCGGAGCGGGAATCTGTTTGGGGGAACTAGCGACTGCCGAAGACAGGAGGTGCTGGGGGGCTCGAGGGTATTCCCCCCGGAAAACTCTCGGAGATGTCATTTTCAGCGTTTTGAGGCGTTATCCAAGACATATTTCTAACCGCTAAAACCGCACACAAGGTCACACGATATTCAATAAGATCCCAAAGACTTCGCAAAAAAGTTTCAATGTTAGTTATTTACGCTCAGTTTTTACACAATCTTTATATAATGAAAAGTGAAATTTCACAAGGAGGCTCTTCGCTTCTTTATTTGAAAAAATTCAAAATGGCGGAAAAATTATTGGGGAAGGTGCTGTAGCCGCCCAGCCCCCTCTGCTCCGCTGTCCCTGTCAAAAGGTAACCTCTGAAATGATATAGGTGAATGCCAATCATTTTTTTAAAAAATAGGCTAAGCTAGCACTGCTAATTTCATTCTTCAAAAGTACACAAACGTTGTGGCACAACCTGAATTTAAACAGGCGGCCCAAGTAATAAATTTATATAGAAATGGGAGTGAACAACATGCAACTATTTGTATCGAACCCTGGTTAGACCTTAGATAAGAACAGAAAATAGGCTGGTACTAGTTACCTAAGATACTTTGATCATTTTCCCTTAGACCTTTGATGATCCCATACGCGTACGCCACAAATATCAATGGAAAGAAAACAAMTTCAAATAAAGCAAACAGGTTGAGCAGAATCCATTTAACCGATCCCTCACTCTCTTCGTTGCTCATCCATAGCTTCTTCAAATAATTTTGTGTTGTTTGGCCTGAAAGAAACTGTGAAACGAAACTTGCTATCATATTGTAGGACAATAAACACCTCGAAAGTATTTCTTCATTGCTAGATAATACTCGTACCTTTTTGCTTTTATAATGGATTGCAGAATACGTGATGCGTTCAATGCAATCATTAATAAATTCGCGTTTTTTACTGATCCTCTGTATAAACGGATACTTGAGAAGATCTCTAGCGTACTCTTCAACACTGCTACCAAGATTCTCTAGTTCTTTGTGGTGCGGACCGTCTGCTGATGATTGTTTAAGATGACTGCTCACCTACATGTTGAAAATACATATAACATTTAATTCTTTTAGAAATTAGCTTTTTAATTTTTTTTAATTTTTTTATTTTTTTAATTTAAAAAAAAAAAAATTATTTTATGTTTTTTTTTATCTTTTTTTTTTAATTTTTCAACAAAGACTAGTGAGCAGCACTACGGAGAACTTGAATAGTTGCAAAACTTTTTATTTTCCTACGCGTTTCGTCTCATGCGATAAGCGCTAATCGCATGGTCCCCAATACTATTTACAAAATAACAATAACATTAGTCACTACATTCACGTCCCAAACAGTTAAATCAGCGTATGTAAGTTTATTCGTCACTTCCCCAGGAAGTTTAATTTTAAGCACGTTCTAAATCTTATATATTTACTGGTGTATAGTTGTGCAAAATTATTCCCTGAAGAAGTCTCCGTTAAGAGACGAAACGCGTAGGAAAATAAAAAGGTTTTGCAACTATTCAAGTTCTCCGTAGTGCTGCTCACTAGTCTTTGTTAAAAAATTACATTTAATTCTTTTAAAAATTAGTCTTTCAAGTTTTTTTGTTTTTTAAATTGCATACAATTTTTTTTGTATGAGAAGATGGCCTGAGTGACATGAAAAGCATGAAATTAGAAAGATAGAAATTTATGTCCTGGAGGAGGATATTCCATGCTAAAAACCCTTGGAAATAAGTTCGGACAAATTAGCATCCGCCCTCGTTACTCACGACCCTCGGATTTGTAATACCAATCCTCTCAGCGATATTGGAAATTAATTTGTCCGAATTTATTTCCAAGATTTTTTAGGCCCGGAATAACCTCCTTCTTAGCACTATAATTTTCTGTCTTTCCTATTTTATGTAAGGGCCATACCATTAGGGACAATTCCAAAAGATTAAGTTGGCACTTTTCAGCCAATTTCTCTAAACGTGATGGTGTAACACTTTTTTTGATCATCTCGATATCCTTGTCGTCCTTTATAAGTTTTATCAGGTCTTGAAGCTCATCATTTTTCTTGTCCTTGCCTTCCTCTGTAAGCTCAGTCAGCTCTTGAGTTTCATCTCGCCGGTTTTTCTTCGACTCAGCCATTGTACGTCTTTCCTTTCTCACTAGCATATCGTACAATGGTGATATCATTTATTATTATCATATGACGGTGTAATTTAGTGCAATCTGATTGGCTCAAGCGGACTGTATTTTACGTATCACGGAACTCGGGGAGAGCAAATTTGTGAAAAAATGTTAGAAAAATTGTTCTTATGGTAGGCATTTTTCATGCACAAGATGTTCTATTATTGCTCTGAAATGCCCCCTGCATTTGGAACACTTTTTGATGTTTCCAGATTTTTTGATCTGAACATATTGGAATGCATCCGGGTTTACAGCTCGGCGAATACTAAACACTGCCTGATGAATGTATATTTCAAACACCGATAGCCAAAAAAATATTTTAGGGTGGATGGGGTGGGAGCGGTACATATAGCATGCATATCAAACTTCTACGAAATTTGTACTTTGTCTTTTATCTCGCCCAATACACCCATTACTTTTCAGTCTTTGGCATTATTTATGACGATTTTACGACAGCTTTAATGGGGTTCTTCGTCGTTTTCCGGATACGTCAAGCAAAGGCCCTTCAGTGATTATGGATATAACTTCACGTTTAAGTTCTGCCGCGCCAAAGTTTACGTTTTAGCTATAATTTGCATAAAAGTCAGGCTATAAAACATGGACGGTATTTCGAGCTTGTGTGACTTGCCAATGTCGCATAAATTATATCAAGCGAGGACCAGCATTCGGTGTACACCAGAAATAAAAAATATTTTCTAACAAGATTGGAACGCAAAGCCTATAAAAATTACAGCAACTATTAGATAAAGGATTGAGCTATTAGTACAAGGGGAATAAGAGAAATCTCTGGAGCCGTTTTGAAGAAAATTAACTTTTCGTGATTTTATTAACAGGCCGCACAATTTTAGCTATTACTCATCTCCAGTAAAAATATTGTAATTCTTTTGATTGGAAAGGTATAGAACTGAAATTTACACACACTAATTTTGAYAAATTGATGTACAACATAACGCAAGATCATGGCAATCGGTTGTATATTTATTTATATACGGCTGTTTATTCTATGTAGGTCATATTTTGGGCTCATTTTTGAGCCGCGTTCATATCTTTATTTCTGCSCGAGTTTTTCCAACCAAATTCATAACCCTTATGTAGTTTTATGAGATATACAAATTCTRAAAATTTCAAGATGATCCGATTGTTAGTTTTTACCCTGCGAGCATTTTCCTTCGCGAATTTTTATTGAGGTAAGGAAATACACTCTGCTTGCAGGGTAGTTACTTTTAGAGTAAATCGTCGAAAACTGGAATTATCACTGTTTGAAAATGCGCTGTATATTTAAAACCAGCCAATAAATTACTAAATACTGAAAACTGTCAAAAACTGYAATAATCACTGCATGTTATATCAAAATTTTAGCACGTTTTACTGAATACTTTTGCGAAGCGAGCGAGTTCAAAAAGTTCGAAATTTGCATTTCATTAGTTGTGATCCACCTTAACTTGAACATTTGCTCTAATTAGCGTCCAGACTGCCGCGGACGAAAAAAATTATACTGCGCAGGCATGCGTAAAAGGAGTATATCGAATATATCGAAGCGTTTTGAGTATTGTTGAAGTTAATTATTATACAACTATAATAGACAGAAGTAAAGTTGCACATTTGAAGACATTTGAACACTTAAATGTATTAATTTAGCTGTACAATTCCCAGGATTCTCGCAAGAAGCATTAACCAAAGGCCTAAAGTTAGCTGAGAATGGCTCAATAATTAACATATAAAACAAACAGACAGTAAATGAGTTTTCATGGATTTAGAAAACCACGTCCATCTTATATCACCATCGCAAATTATGCAGTCCTACTTACCTTGTTGATTCATCTGCTAAAGACGCAACTGACACTATAATAGCATATGAGCCAGCTATATCTAGTTGAGAAATTCCGGACGTTCCACGAAATTACACTACCACGAAAAAAGACGCGCTCAGTTCTTAGAATGATAAACCAGATGATCAAGAATTAAGCTTTATTCAAGTGTAACAATTCAAGTTTTATACTCTCCTGAGAGTGACTTATTTCGCCGGGAAATGCTGCACGATCGCGAGAATGACAAACTTTCTATATMAGGAAGAAATTCCGCTTCAGTTTTAGGCCTTTTTTCGTGTCTTTCGTGTTCTCTAATCACCCCTGCATTCTTTATTTTCCGATAGACACACGGCAATCCATCCATTATTGTTAAAATATAAATGTAACTTGTTTGTACTAAGAGTTTTATGCATATTCACAATTTAAGATCAATAGATTATGAAGCTCGTTTTACCAAAGACCGTCATGTCATTTCCTGTTTGGGCTTTCGGGTGCACTTTGATGCAAACGGCTCAGTAAACACAGGCATCGATTATTATTTAATCATTAGCGACGAAGGTTACTGTACTGTAAATAGAACATTTTGCATGAGCACAATATTATCCCGAATAACTGCTGATGTCCATTGAACCTAAGGGTGGATATATAGCGCTATCCAGAGGATAAAATCCATGCAAAATCTATAGAGTGGATAACTTTATTCGGTGGATAGGTGTATTCAACCTTAACCGGCGTGTCTAGGATTTTAGATATTGTTTTGAATGTCGGTCAACTTAAACACGTCATTGATTGCTTGAATTCGATACAATCCATTCGGTCATTTATAGAAACACGAAATGCTGAACAAAATCCTTCTTTTATTTGGTGAAATAATGTATTTATTAGTTTACTATTCCTTGCAGTGGATCCAGCAAACCAAGACGAATTGCTGTCAATCAATATGCAAAGCAAGAAGTTGTTTACATCGTTAACCGTGAAATAGAAATGATTTAATCTAAAGATATAATAATATTAAATTTATATTTTAAGCACACTTGCGTGAATTCTCGCACGCTGATTGGAAGATAAGAGGGCATGTGCACACCTCATGTCACTAAAAATAAACTAACGAAATACCCACGGTTTTATGGCTAGTGCCTAAGAGCCTCTAGCCATATTAATGTCATCGCCCTTGAGTGAGTGTAATTCGGGAATAGCTCGTATTCCATTCGGTTCTTCTCGGGATAAGCTCGTATTTCCACTCGGATCTCCTCTCGTTAGCAGTTGGAACAAAATGGCGGACAGACGGCGGCAAACAGTTTTCCCTTTTAAATGGCTCTAAAATGTAGCTAAAACGCTCAAAAGAGCTGAAAATTATGCACAAAAGAACTATTATTGTCCAACGGACATGAAAGGAGGTATATGATTCAAGATTATTGGCTGATTAATTATGCAGAAATTTTGCCAAACATTCACAAATAAGAAATTAAATGGACACTAGACGCTCTTGGAGCGTGAAGTCGGACTAGCTGTTTTTGAAAATTGAGAAAGACAGGATATTACATGGATAAAAAATATTTTAATTTTCTTCCAAAATAGCCGAACTCACGGTCTAATAAGAGCGTCTAGTTCAAAATATGCAAAATTTTCGAGACTCTAAATAAACTTGACCTAAAAGGTCATGTAATTAACGCGATAAGAACGTTTTAAAAGAGTCCTTGCTTTGACTGATAAAATCAAACTTGCTAGACAAAATGTGGCTAAGTGATATCATGATATCTACGTTGACCTCTCAGGCCAAGAAAATAAATACTTTACAAGGAAAAAGATAACTATAAAATCATTAAATTCGCCTTTCTGTTATTGATAAACAAAGTTTCTTCTTGTTCTAATTTGAAATCTTTGCCCACACAATACCGTCCTAAGCTAGAAAGGTCATTGATTCAGTTTTGTAAGCATACAACTCGAAGCTCCATGCGATCCGCACATGCGCGTACTTATGATGCCTAGACTGATGCATTCCGATGAGATCACAGATACCACATTTGTAAACGAATAGTTTTTTTATCATATAAAAGTGCAAGTAGCATATAACGTTTGCTAACGATATTCGTACATCTATACGATTGAGCTTCCGGTCATGTAATAACACAGCCAACTCAATAGGAAATTATTAAACTCTTCCGGTGGTCCAAACGCGACATGACACATAGATAGATAGATAGATAGATAGATAGATAGATAGATAGATTGACTAAAAGGTAAATTTAAAGTCGGACCGCCTTCGCCTAGTCCGACTAATAATAAGGCTCATATATTTACAGAAGAACAGTCATTCAGTGGAATAGTCACATTCATTGTTCAATTTACAGAAAGAAATATATATATTGAGACACGAAAGTAGATATTTGAGTCAAGCTATTTAGTTGTGATTACTGAGCATGTATTTGCCACAATGACAAGGCTTCATTAATGACAAAACCAAACGATTTTCGCTAAAATACTGCATTTAATAAAAAATTCTGCTATAAGTATAAGGCACTAGCCACATGCAGTCTTTGACTGCGTATTTTTTGTGTATGTTCTCTATCTTTTAGACACAAAATGGTGTGCAAAACTTGAACCCATTCGGTGTAGTTGTGTTTCCACTTGATATTTGTCAACAAGAAGACAAACAACTCAATGCCGTGACATTATTGCCCTTTCAGCTGGTTGGTGATTTCATTTTTCATCAGTTGCCTTGATCTAAGACAATCAGGGTGAAAAATAAGCAACAAAAAATATTAGCCGTTATCTGCAAGATGATTCAGTGGCAATAGACATCGCGATAGAGTACAAACATTAAATGTGTGCTATACTTTCCACAATAGAAAAAAATAGAATTAACATAATTTAGCAGTATTTAGTGGTATTTATGTTGCACAGTTTTAGTGTTTGTGCCCTATCACCCTCAGTATGTAGTAACACAGAACCATAAAACGGCCTTAGTAAGCTAATTTACACAATTAAGTGAACCATATTGTATCTCTGGGAGAGGGGAGGGTCAAAAGGAGTAATTTGTTCTTTTCTGTGACTGTGCGCGGATTGCATATTAATTACATCTACCAAGCTGTTTCTGGTAGCCTAAAGTAGTCTTTATTCTTCGTATTATTAGTAAATTTGCAAAACAGATGAAGAGCATAGACCTTTATCTTTAAAAAACACAGTTGAAAATCGTTATGCAGACGTTTTTCGGATATCTTTTGGGCGTACTGATGAGTTCTTTCCGGTGTCATAGCATCAGCTCCCGTTTAAAGAAGATTAAAATCCAAACGAATACCAATTCTATGGAAGGCTGCATCTATAGCTGATCGCTGTTCATTGGTCTCAAATCCACAAGGTTAACAACGCCTACCACTGGCGACATTGTCTCGCTAATGGTAGTGGTAGAGACCAGTGCTCGTCGTGGAAACATCGACCTTACACTACTGAACAAAGCCCTACATGCACTACGATAGTTTTCACTAAAGACATAAAAAATAACAATATTGAATAAGCCATTGAGATATGTGAACGAGTACGAAATGGGAAATAGAATACCTACAATGAACACACTGGGGTAGTGAAGAAAGAGCGAACTAGAAATAAACAGTGCCCCCGAAGTTAAGATGAAGGCCAACGCAACAGATATAATCATATAATTAACTTTCCTAGATGTTCTATCAGCAGCCTGCTGTCCAGCTTCTCCTGGGACTTTTCGCTTCCATACCTTGTATCCGATAGCAAAACAGAGCATAATGACGAGAATAAGTGGAGACAGAATACCTGCAAACACAACTATCAAAACCTTTGTTGAGTTGTTGGGAAAGCAGTATGTAGATTCTTCTCCCTGCAATGTAACTAAATCTTGTCCACCGATGGTTGACAATGCCAGACCAACTGAGACTAACCACGTTAGCATTACAAGATATTTACTTGATGAAACATAGTTTTTGTACTTCATAGGGCGACTGACTGCCATTAATCTATCAGCCGATATCACCACAAGGCTAAATGTTGAACAAAAACTTATTGTAAATCGGAAAACTGTATAAGCAACACACGTGACCCATCCTAACAGTCCAGGGAACCAAGCAAACCAACTGATAGTAAAAGCTATGGTATAAGGGGTACCCGCCACGGCAAGAAGGATATCAGCACACGCCATGTTGACTATAAAGTAGTTGGTTGTTGTGTGCATGTATCGGTTGACTCGAACACTGTGGATGATGATGCTGTTGCTGACAAGTGAAGACAAACTTCCAATCGCTGTCATGGAAATGAGGACCGCTTTGGTCCGACCGTCTACTTCCTTTGCCCGCATTAGTTTATCTTTCGTTAAAAAGAGTAAATCGAAACAACATGAGACTTTAGAATTGAAGAAGAGGCGATTCAAGAGTCTTATAGTTTTCTTTTGTATGAATCTAAATTGCAAATCATCACCTTTTTCTTACCTTGAAGCGATGTGGTTTCATTACCAATGTTAGAGTTGAATTTGATTGTCTCAGATTGAGAAAGAGGAAAGAAAGCTAAAATCATTATAACAATAAATGAAATGCTCATTATTTTATCAAAATCCATCTTAATGTGACAAAATCTGAGCACATCGGTTGAAGTCAGTGTGATCGGAATTTGTTGACAAGAAATGAGATGTTGGAATATTTCAATTATTGAAAATCCGTCTCAATATTATTTTGTCAGATTTAATCAAAACTTACAACTGATCATTGCCACAGTTGTTTGGACATAAATAATGTGCCGACGGCCGGTTAGAATACATGAAATGACCAGGTGCAAAGACTACTAATAACGATAGGGCTCCTGTCAACTGTCATCGCAGCTTTTGTTGATGTTATGAAAATAAGAATACATGGTAACTTCTGGCAAAAACGTATTCTTATTATTCTTTGTGTCCTATGAATGGAGATGTTGTAAGATTTCAATTTAAAACCTGAAGATAAAAACAGATGACGTATGGATCAGTATTGGAAGTCATCTGCTTTTTCATATATGAAAACGACCGCGTTGCATTCCTGTTGACAATAGCCTTTTATCTTATCTTTATTGTTATCTAGCAGAAAGATTAGTTCTAACACTCAATATTCTCTAAGATCAGCTGTGTTACGTACCATGTAAGTAAAGGTAGAACCGATCGATTTAATAATTTTGTTACTATGTTCTTGTAAATATGACCTTCTCCTGTAATTCAGTTCTAACTGCAAAAGGATGTAATAAACTTGAATTTATTTAATTTTGATGTTCAATTAACCACAGGTAGAAATTAGGGCCTGTTAGATAGCTTACTCATGTAGCTTATTCAAATACTGCAAGTCTATGATTAATGTGAATATCCCAGTTTTAGCTAGTGCTTTTTTTCATAGCTAGTGCTTTTTTTCATATAATTGCATGCAATGTCACTTCACAATTACTTCAAGTGTTTTATCGATATTCTCCAAAATGTAAAAACAGCCAGTTTTATCTGAATGCGTATTCTTCATAAGAATTCATTTACATAATACGATATCCACTGGTCTGAAAGAAACCAGAGTGACCACGCCCGCTACAGAATGTGACGCTACTTCACCGATGGTGGTGGTGAAGGTTATCATTGTTTAGCGTTATTAAATTTGGTTTTATGGTATATTACTTCTTTTTATTACACAGACTGAGGCTAAATTGTTTTGTAATGACTGAAAAGATTTTCTAACTAATGCCAATATTGACAAAAAACTCATAAAACTGTCAAAACCTCGATCGATCACTTGAAAAAATCGCGCGCTTCAAAGGTTGTAAATTTGATGTAAATATGATGTAATTGTCCAAAATTCTGTAAATTTGATGTAAATGATTTCCATTAAATTTACTAATATTGGTCACTTAATTACATCAAATTTACAACCTTCAAAGCGCGCGATTTTTTCAAGTGAATGTCTGAAATTTGAGTTTTTATAAACAGAAATGAAAAACATTCGAATGAGTAACAGTATAGACTAATAACAGTGCACTGAAATTTGAACGCGCATATTAGAGGGAAACTGGATGCTGGGAAATGTAGTTCGAGGGCAATTACGAAATTTTGAGGAACATCCAGTTTCGAAGGGCAACTATCACAATAAAATGCTCGAGATTTTAAATGCTATATTTTTTTCAACAAAATGTTCAGAAGCGGCGCGCTATAAGCACTGTAGTATCCTTCTGCGGGCAATATCGCGTCGCGTGGTCGACTATATTCACCATTGAGAGCGGTGCAAAATTTGTTGTTGTCAAATTATTATCTCTTACAAACACGCTGTATTGTTGAGAGAACACGAGAAAAGGTTTCAATCACGAGGTGATTCGTGGATGTATTCAACGGGAAATCGACATTTCCTACGTAACATGGATTCATTTTGCTACTCTGTGGCTGCCTTTATTCATTTTAACGTACAAACAGAACACATAGACGGACAGACAGATTTCTATCAGAAGTTTTAAAAATCTGTGATGGTGTTTTACCCTAATGACGTCATGTTTATTTTAGCGCAGTGCTTCATGGTATTGAAGGTATCAACATGGCGGAATGCTAATAAAAACTACGGAGGACGACATTTCCTTGCGAAAGTAATGCCTGTTGCCAAGAATACTTTACAAAACCATTGAACAAGATATCACAGTAAAGTCCATTAGAAAACCTGTTTTGGGAATACTTAACGGGTACTAATACTAGTATTCCTCCAAACGGCTTCACACATAACCTAAATACAGTTTGCACCTTCATGAATCACGTGATGCATATTGCTATTAGGCAGAAGGACCGTCGATATTATTGAAATATAAATATCCATCAGGGCGCGGTGGCTATACAATGAGTTCTGGGACCTCGTCCTCGACAGAGTGAACTTGGGTCTTGACTTTATCACACCATACTGTAAGACGATCTCTCATGTTGGCGATCTGAAATCATAGAATGAAATCAAACTTATGCTTATAATGAAGCTAACTATGAAGACTCTTTCTTAAAAGACCTGTATATATACGATTGAATGATCATGACCGAAGTCAAATTCTCAAAGCTTGATTCAGGCGAAAGGAAAACAGTTTAACTAGCAATGGTTGAGCGTCGTTCAATTAGAATTAGACAGCTAAATGACTCTCAAGGCGGGATGGGCGAACAGTTCACTGATAACAATAATAATATGCAAGGGGGAAATTGAAATGTAATATTTGATATATTCATAACATGAACGATTTTGAACGATATTTTTTTTTTCATTTATATGTGAGATGGAAAATCAAATCAAAAATCATTAGCTAAAAAACGGAGGAATATATGAGAAATATCATATTTAGGAACTTGTATGATTGGTGGGACTCGAACCCATGGCTTTGATATACCAGTCCGGTGTGCTAATCATTAGACACTAAGTACTTAAGTATCTCTGGTTGCCGTGTGACATAAAGATGGAGGAAAGAGAGTATCCTGGGGACCATAATCTCTACATGTATGTGTAAATTTATTCCCGATGTTTTCTATCCTAGGAACACGGCTATTCCCGCTTGTACTGCACGCACATYTTCCTTATAATTCACGACTTTCCATACTCAGATCCAGTAACTATGAACAAAGCATTGAACCGAGGCGTCAAGGTACAATGAGCATAAAAGAAAAGATCTGTGCACAGTGTTCCTTGACGCCTCGTTTCTATGCTTTGTTCGTGGTCACTGGACCTGAGTATGGAAAGTAGTGAATGATAAGCTGAAGACCAACACAAGACACACCATTATATTGCACAAGCATTATGTAACCAACCTGATTCTGATCCAGAACACGTGGTTGTACCCAGGTCATATGAACCATTTGCTCTACTTCATCAATGGAACCTGTGATCAACAATAATTGTTTTCATAATCAAGGTTTAGTGAATGATTGTAAGGATAGTTTTGTTGTTGTAGAATCTAGTCTCGTTCAGCGGCATTTGACGCTGTAATCTTCATGTAACCCATTTGGTGCAACAAAGCATTATGGGAAATGTAGTTCTCGCACTATTTCATGTCAACTAATACAGTCCGCCTAAGCCTTTGAAAAATAGATACTTCGCACTTGCTACAAAGAAAAAACATAACGGCTTTAGATGAGATTTTTCATGGGTTTTGAAAAGTGCTAATACTAAAACTCCCATCATGCTTTGTTGTACAAATGACGTCGCTGTACATTGTTCATAAGAATTGTTGGCCACGTTGTACGTTGCACAGCCCATCAATTTTTGATTATTATGACATTCACCATCAAAGTAACGATGGGGATTCTTACAATACCGTATTTACCCATGTATAAGCCGCTCTCGTAGATAAGCCGCACCCCGAGTTTTAGGAACGTTTTTGAGGAAAAAAAAGATGGAAAATAAACTTTTTCTCTTTTTGATCGCCACTTGTGAACACAGCTTTCTTTGATTTTAAAGTGCTTTTCCGCTGCTCGATTTCCGTGATCCATGCATTTCGTATGCAATTACAATCAGTTTATTTAACGTACGGTGTACTATGATGGATTTGATCTTGGAGACATAATTGTTAAGATTGATAATTGATACTTTAAAGAGTTGTTTTTCATTCAAAAGGTAAAAGCAAACTAGTAATTAACTTAAGTGATATAAATCTCATCGTGCTGCCAAACTTCTAAACATAAGGATTCATCATGCCGAAACCGTTTCGTATTTCAAAAAAATATCAAAGCAGATTGTATTTGTTTAATATAAGGAACAATTTCTTGGGCTTATTTCTTGGGTATTCAAAATATTTACCCTGTATTCTTCATTTTCGAATTCGAAGCGAATAACCGCTGCTTTATTTGATAGCAGATACAAAATATTGAAAGTACAATAGAGCTAACAATTTTTTATTTTCCCGAGCTGAGGCTAAAACTGCATTCCCAGAAGGCTTAAATTTATGTCTTATGGAAAAACAGGGTTAGTCTCAACTTGGGGAAAATGCAGATTTCCAAGGCTATTGTAATAACGACATTTTCTCGTGCTCTCTTTTGTGTTTGGTTAAGGTCTTTGCGCAAGAGAATCTGTTATCAAATAAAGCAGCGGTTTTTGCTTTGAATTCGAAAATGGAGTATGAACTCTATAAACGGAAATAAGGAAATGAAGTTCGTTGGTCGCAGTTAAGAATACACTTACCTTTAACTAAGCCAAGTGACAAAGCTTTCATGACCAGCAGTTCAACCTGCAATACATCAATTTGCTATTATAGTCATCTACAGTACATGGGCATGTTGAGACCCAAATGGTGCATGGGAAGTTAAGGTTATTTAGCTGACAACTTGTCGCAATACAAAAAAACTAGAAACACTAACGCTAGAGTGCACACCAAAAAGCGTGAAACAATTCTTAAAAAGTGCTACTTGTATGAAAATTCCCTTATTTCAAAACTTCAAGCAATACAAATATATGACTCATTTATATCTATTAAAAACAATTGCGGGAAAATATTTGTTTTGGAATTATCCCACATCAGAGAAATTTTGATTCAAAAGATGGAAGAACACTAAAAGGATGGAGTAAATGACTTCATATACTCCAACCTTTGTTTCTCAAATAATTAGGGATTTATATCGATATCTTCTTGAAATCTGTTGCTTCATGATTTTTAGACCCACATGGATAGGTCTATTTGATTTCCAAGTCTTTTCTAATGTTTCATAATTTTCGTCCAAGTAGCCCTTTAACAATCAACAACTAATAAGATTTAGTTATCAACTAACTAAAATTTCACTGGGGCATGAACACAATGCCAGAAAGGAAACTTGTCTTTGTTTATGCCTCACTGAATTCTTAGTTAGTTGATAACTATATCTTATTAGGCGCTAATTAGTTAAGAATTGTTTCACACGTATGTCGCGTGCACTCTAACTTGCACAGAAACAACGTTGCACGACAAGTTGAGGTTTTCTGTATCTCGTATTTTTCTTAAGATCACCGACGATATCTCATACAAATGGACTCTGAGGTGATTCTCTTTTGTCCTGAGGCTTCAATAATCGCTGTCATTGAGAAACTAGTTTCAAAGAATGCAATATATTCCTAATAGCAGTATTGGTGCGACTGTTGTTTCTACTTTGTATTTGTATTTGTTGCGATGAATACCTCATTCTCAGGAACCTTGGCTTCTTGTGCAATCATTGCAAATGAGAGATTTCGATCATTTGATGGCCTGTTGAATGTTAGCTAAAAATAAAAAATATCAATTATCTTAGTGCTATGGTATACAGATCAACAGGCAGGTATAGACCCCTTGCATGTGACGTCAAAGCAGCTTCATCTGGAGGACAAAACAAAASATKTTTATCCTCTTGGGAACTARAATCTATTGTTTTGTCCTCCAGTTGGAGCTGCATTCCCATGAACTGCAAGGGGTCTATAGAGACAGGTATTGACTGGCAGACAAAGAGACAGGGGAGTAACTTTCGATTACCCCGCAAAAAAAAAAAAAAACGGTTCGTAATGAGCGAAGGCTACGGTCACAGTGGAAATGAAGACATCGTTTTTTTAGAACAAAATATACACTACATATATGACCTACATTGTACATGTGTAGCCGGCTACATGGCTACACCGGCTACAGGTCAAAATGAAGAAATTGGTCTTCCTGTGTGTTTTGTAGAACGAAATATACATGTAGACTATGACCTGTAGCCGGCTACATGGCTACACCAGCTACAGGTTGAAATAAAGAAATCAGCTTCCTGTGTATTTGACCGCCGTAGCCGCGGCTACAGGTAGAGAGTTTAAGTGGCAGGGTAAAGTTCGATAGTTGTACCAAGACAGGGAAAGAAACAGACGGACACAGAATTGGCAGACACATACAAGTTATAGATACAGATATAGACAGACCCACATGGTCAAACATTGACACACAGACACAGATAGTCAAACACAGAGTCAGAAGGGCAGACACTGGACAGACAGAGGCAGACCAAGATACAATGTACATACACAGACCATAAAACAGAGACAGACATACTGTACATTTGCAGCAGACAGACAGACACAGAAAACAAAAATGTAACCATGATAATCTTACCTCCATAAGACAAAGAAGACGGATTTTCTGCTGTAATGCTTTTTCGTTTTTAAGCATGTCTGGCTGAAAGACAAAGAATCGAACGTTACAAAGATATTTCACAGACATGCTATTGGTACAAAGTAGAATCAAATATTACGAAAAATTTAACAACATTCATGGGATAAGGTTGACAGTAGTCCTCAGTCCTTAGATTGACAACAGTAAGATTGGCAGCAGTAGAAAAGTTTTAAAGTTTCTTGAGGTATTAACCAACCTGTTTTGACCAGTATGGTCGCAGGTCTTCAAACTTTTTCAAATTTCCTAAAGAAAGTACATCAAAACATTTAATACAAACTTTAGCGCATATATGTACATGTATACAAGTACATTGAATATCAAGCAAAACGAAGTCAAAAAACTAAAATTAATTAAAAAACACACACACTTCAATAATTACAAATTATGCCTGGGCTAAATGGGGTAGAAATAATAAGTAATAAAATAGGCACTGTGCAGATCGGTTAGCTCAGTAGGTAGAGCATCGGACTTTAGTGCGGGAGGTCGCAGGTTCAAACCCCGGCCGGACCAACACTTAGGGTCTTAAAATAATTGAGGAGAAGTTGCTGCCTTTGTCTTTCTCCATCTGCAAATGGTAAGATCTTCTCGTCCTCTCGGATAACGACGTAAAATCGGAGGTCCCGTCTCTCTACACTTCACTCACTAACCTGTATTAGAGGGACGTTAAAGAACCCACACCACTGTTCGCATAAGAGTAGGGAATGATGCCCGGTGTGTGTGGCTAGGCCTTACTACTAACCCATACTAATTACTAACCCCTCATGGTTGTAAGCCGCGTGGTTGCCAATTGCGCCTTAAACAGCGGTCCGTGTGAAATGATCTATACATGTGAAGCGCGTTTGAACTCAGAGGATATCGGCGCTATATAAACACCACATATTATTATTATTATTATTATTAGATATCATAAAATTATGCCCAGAAATAGAAAGAACAGCTTGATGTACTAGGTAAAATGGCAAAGTTTTAAGTCTCAACATTAAATACTTGAAAAATGGCAGAAAAGTTTCAATTTAAAATTTTCTAAAGAAACCTAGGAAAATACAACTAGACAATAAGCCTTGCTCTCCAGTTCTATTTTTGCTAACAGTTCATGTCTTCAGAAAAATGGTAGATTTTTTATTTGCTTCTAGTTTGGGAATCACGTTGCCAATAACTGATTGATTTAAGATACAGGTAATTGTGATCACCCAACCCTCAGCTGCAAAGGGTCTATTATTACAGGTACGAAATTTCAACCCTAAAGAGGGACCAATCAATAACAGATCATTTTGTTTTGGTTTCAAAATTTTATTTGCATTTTTGCACAATCATTGAACACCATTGGCTCGTATTGAGTTTATGACGATGATGCCATTTTATGACTGTTTAGGGTCATCATATACCCTAAAAGGGACCACAAAACTCAGTTGGTGGGAATTGTCTTCATTATCACCCTAAGCGGGACCAAAATACCAATTTCAAACCCTAAAAGGGATGTCGAGGGCCCCGCCCTTTGATATTAGGGAGTCCCCCCTCCCCAGGACTAAATGTACCAGCATGTTATTATTTATTTTAGTAGTACATGTCATGAAAGCAGTACTGTACATGTACAGTTTTAAGTCAAATTTCTCACCACTATTGAAGGCATAGAGCAAATCAACCAGCCAATTATGTTCTGTTCCTTTGATATACTTCAAAACCTCATGAGCAAGCTAAAATGATAAGATGAACAGCCTTTAATCCATCAAACTAAAAAGGCCCACTGAAAATCACAATAATTAGCACACAATATTGAGTGGACCATGAGTTGCTGGACCATCACCTCATAGTTCAGAAGACCAATTCATCTAATATACCATAGAACTATAGAACAAATTTGACATAAAGAACAATTTTTGTCAACTTTTTTTCAGATATTCTGGCTTCATTCCATGTGACCATGGTTTATCATAATGTATTTCGGCCCTACGCGCGCTCTTAAAAAACCTTGGGAAATGGTCATGTGATGGGGGTTGTACGCCTTTTCGCAACAGGGCCGTACAAACCCATATCTTCCCGGCTTGAAGTTCTGCGCGCTTTCAATTTTTTTTACATTAAAAAACGCTGTCATATGATAAAATGCGTATTGACTGAGTTAGGTTGGGCTGTACGGGTAAATATTTGACTTGAGGTTATGCTGCATTTGTTCCGTACAGCATGACCTCAAGCCAAATATTTTCCCGTACGACCCAACCTAACTCAGTCAATAAGCACATAATATTTCAGTAGCCAATCAGAATGCTGGATTTGTAATAGCCCATACTTTATTCGATACCAATGTGGTGGGATAAATGTTGTAGTTCAGGTTCAATATATTTTTGAACCAGTTTAATCTAATTTGTTCCAGTACAAGACTTCTTGTACCGGTCTTTGCAAATTTATTTTTTATCTTAATTGTAATTTATTAATGAAGAAAATTTTTATATAATGCTGGCTCAACCCTATTTCCAACCCTAATCCTAACCCTAAACCTAACCCAAAACCTAAACCTAACCCTAACCCTAAACCTAACCCAAAACCTAACCCTAACCCTAAACTGATTTGTACTGGATTGAGTTATATTGGACTGGCTCAAAATAAACTGAACCAGTTCAGAAGAAATTGAACTGGTTCAAAATCATATTGAACGTGAACTACAACATAAATATCTAGTATACATTGTGTACATTTGTACCTACCAGTTCACCAAAATTATAAACATCACTGCCAAGGAGTGCAGCTAATGCCAAATGAAGAGCTCTTTCTATCTTTTCTGTATCTGTATTAATACAACAGCATTATTTTCAAACAGGAATAAATTAATTGCAATAATAAAGAGAGTGCCACACTTTATACTGTAACAAATCAGAAAGTTAGCATAATTTTGATACCATATTTTTGTAGTCCAGTATTCCAAATCGCCATTTGAACCAAAATATTCTAATTTTCTCAGGCTTTTAGACGATATTTCTTCCTTATATGCTTTAAATATTTTGTGGCCTTTCCTTTTAAATTTGTAGTATTTTAAAAGCATAAAAATGTCAGATTTAAGTTTTCAGTTACACTTTTCAATCCCCTTATGAGTCTCTATACAGATACAGTACAATGAAGATTGAATACCATTAAAATTATAATCTTTAACAACATATAACTAGAACAAAGACAGTCAACTCCTGATATGGACTCCTTTAAGGCCCGTTTACACTTGCAATTTTTCCAGAAGGATTCTCACGGAAATTGTTGCACAACCATTGTCTGAGTTTCGAACATGACCGCAACAATCGCTGTGCTGTTTACACATACGATTTTAGTTGCGTGATTATTATCATGGGGATTATCATGCTACAAAAATCGCAAGTGTAAACGGTCCTTTACAAGATATACATGTACCTGATAGAGAAGTCAGTTCTACACATCCAAGATAACGAAGACCATCTCTGTAATAATCATTATAGGAACCAGTTATCTGTCAGTAAAGTAAGAAAATACATTAGTCATCCAATGTGTACGATCATAAAAAATTCAAGACCAACAATGTTTATGATATTTGATTTCCTAAGCCGAGCTTTAACACCAATGGTGAATCATGGTGCATCCTCAGGACAATAAACAAAATTACAATAGTTTCCTTCTTGTTTATGTGAATACTGTATGTTACATCGAATTTCCATTGCCCATTGTTAGCTCACACATTTAGTTTGAGAGGTTAGAAAAGTTGTTATCTTTGTGTGTTCTGTCATAAATACTAAAGGCAAAAAGATAGCTCTAATATACATGTACATACAAACCTTATGGAAGTTACTGCACAAACTGTAAAACCTGTCATGGACAGCTGACACTCCATCAATAGTATCCAGCATCTCTCTTGCTTGTGCTATTACAGTCTGTCAACAGCCAATGAAAATTATGATTATTAAAGTTATAACAAGGTACTAATACATTCATTATCAAATAATAAAGAAAAGCAATAATGTCTCAATAAAATCATTGTTCTTGTAAATAGAAGAGTTAAATCAAACCATGTGGAAGCATACTAAAAATTTTAATATTAACTGATTTCACTGTGACTGACATAAAACGTTTCCTCTTTTTAAACCTGATGGATGACCAACTTCTAAACACCATCATGTTTTCTATCTTATTATAGTGCACTCTAGACTTTATATTTTCTGTTGAACAATAGGCCCCACAGAGAGTGTCTTACACATATGTACCTTGGTTTCATCCAGTTTGTTCTCAGCAAGTCTTATGTTACCAATAGCAGTCAAACAAAGAATATCAGCTTCCAACACATTCTTAACCTTGAACCAATTAAAAAAAACATTAAAACATGTAAAGGACAGAACAGTAAAGTAACAGTACATGTACACTGTATAGAGCGGATTTCGTATGAGTGGGAAACGGATGGTACTGTACTGTGACCATAATCGTACTGTTACCAAATTCTAGTGCCCCATTGGTTCACCAAAATTGCACAGGCCAGGTCCAGTAACTGTGCGGTAACCGTGCGGTAATGGTGTCCCACTCATACGAAATCCACTCTATGTACATGTGCATGTGTACATGTATAAATGTATACAGTCAGTGACATTTCAATTATTAGAAGCTACATGTACTACATTTAGTATAAGGATGGAAAAATCTAGATACCATACAACCATATAAAAATTGAGTTCAATTCCTATATAGAACATTACATATAAATTCATGTTTTGTTTGTAAACTTGTTTGTTGAAAATCATTATATCAAGGATCCCTGCAATAGTTTGATTGCTATAATCCATACCTTTTCTCGCTGTTTTTCCAAAAACTGGATAGCCTTTTCAGGATCTACAATAAACAAAAATATAGTTATGCAAAGGTGTGTATACAGTATCTGTATCTCATGCTGCAGTGTACATTTAGAATATTTTTGGCACTGAATTTGGCCATGCTTACACTTACTATTTTTAAACTGTTCAAAAAGGAAGAGGAATGCAAATACATCCTAAATTGAAGATAACAAGATCTACAAAGCAATTCACATGTAAATACCTTTATGTTCCTTTACTATGTACAAACTGATCTCCATTAAAGTTAAAGGATTTATTCTTCAAAGAAACGAAAAAACAAGTTTTAATATTTTTGATAAATACATGTACATGTAGATATTAGATACATTTATGGATTGCAGTTAACTTTAAATTTAAGGGTGTACTGACATATCTGTTGCTAGGGAAATTCAGTAGTTCTCTAAAATGACAAACAAAAGTAAAATCGCTTTCGTATTGAGTATAAGCCTTCCCAAACAAAAATAACACATTCTATGACATCATTGTACAACGCCATCGTGTGACGTCATCAATACGAAAAAATGCTATAATTTCATCAAGCAAAGTATATTAAAGATTTAAAATGGATGAAATTAATCTTTAGATCTAAGTCCGTAAAGCCAAGCATGCGTTTTTAGAATGATTGCCAAATAAGCTTTTTACAATTTTTTAAATGCCACAAATAAGCGAAAAATGCCAATAACTTTCGTATTTTTTTAATTTTTCGCCAAACCCATGCTTGGTTCTGAAGAGGAGGCTGTGAAGAACATAACTATTGAAAAAACACGTCCATTTGATGTTTCGCACCGAAGATTATATTTTTTAAATGATACCATACATTTTATGTAAACAAAAACCTTTCCACCGGAAGTAAAAAGTTTCCCGCCATGAAAAAGCGTGCGCGCCCGCTTCTCCGATTGGCTAGCATCGGCTAGCATAGCAACCAGGTCGTCTAGAAACGGATATGTCAGTACACCCTTAAAGCGTTTTCCATTAAGCTTGTTGGGAAGTTCCTGGAGTGGGTGAGCTTCAAGAGTTTGTGTGCAGGTCAATGAAAAGAACTAACATCCTTGAAATTATACCAAATTGCAGAATCAATCTATTGAGAGTCTGTGACAATGAATTTAAAATTTAAAAAACACTAGGAAGATCACATGTATGGCAGTGTCAAATTTTAAAAAAATGCATTGGTAATGTTATTAATTACAAAGTAACCTTTCAAGACACTATGGAAGTCTACTATACGAAGGTTGGCATTTGAGACCTTGCTTTAGTGTTTTGTCCCATGACAAACAGTTTCTCAAAAATGAACCCCATTTTGTAATACGGTCATTCTCTACATGTACATGTACATTGATACAATAATTTAATGTCATGAAACCATTTTTAAGAAACTACTCCAAAGTTTGCATATCTAATGAAGCCTTCTTTGACATCATTTTCATTAGTATATTGTAAGATTAAACCTTCATAACTCAAAGATGCAACACTGAAATGCAAGAATATTTCACCATTCAATTATTTACTTTATAGAATCAGTTCACAGAGAATAAGAAAATATTGTGTCATAGGCACTTTAAATTTGTGAATACAAAGAGGACATACATGTATGGATAATACATGTAGTAACAATGCTAACATTTAATATGTAGTGTATGCATGTATATTTACCTGTGCTCAAAGTCTGAAAGGAAATTGTCATGCATCTGCAGAAACAAAGATATGAATAAGTACGGTATACAAGGAATGTTGTGTGCAGTCAATGTCGAGGTACTGTGTGTGGGTTTACACCTTCCTGATTACATGAATACATAAATACTATTGTCAACAATATCAGGACACATGTCAAACTGGAGCAATCAAGATGTTAATAAAGTTAGAATTCTTGTTATGATACATGTACATGTCCTATACAGTATACAGTAATGAAAAGGAGAATCTCATAACTTTGGCATTCAATGGTTTTCCCACACTCCCACAGCCATATACACCATAAACATCAGCAAACAATTTTATTTCTTACTGTAGCTACCATGATTCTTTTAACACAATGAGCAATTTCAAGGCGAAAAAATGGGGAAAACAACCTCATGGACAAATGTATATATTAACATAATGAATTGACTCATATTGCCATATACCTATTTCAAGAGAGGTTGTCAGAAAAAATGGCAAATGTCAATTTGCAAACAGCGACTTCATGACACGACTGAAAGGAGTAATGTGTTTTGCTAAAGATGGGAATATGTAAGTTACTTACCTCTAGTAGACCTCCATTTTTCTCAAAATATTCATTTTTGACAAATTCAACTAATGACAAAGTCAGTTGATGCCATAGTCTACAAGAAAAAAATAATAATTTAAACTTTCATTTTCTTTTAATGCTACAAAAACTATTCAAAGTACTTATTAGAGCCCATTCTCCTCACTTCATCTCGAAATTCAAAATGGAGCCCAAACTGTACTGTGAATTTTTCCTATGGAATTTTTCCACTGCACGATACTTTCCCTCATTTTGTTCTCAAGAGATTTTATTCGTTCATAGTTTTAAGTTCAAATACCATTTTACTGCCTGAAATTTTACGTCTGGTAAGCTAAAAGCTTCAAATATTTTGATGTTTTGTCAAAAATATTCAGAGGAAATTTCACGAATTTTTTCACTCTACAAGACAAATAATCTCCAGAGCAAGCCTACCGATACTTCAGTATTTTTGAATAAGTTATTCAAAGCATTAAACAAAAGATATTAAAAAACTATAAAGACCATACTAGAGAAAAAATGTCAAAGTTTTTCCCGAACACTTTTGTGACACAGCAAAATTGAAGCTTGGTGAATGTGGTCAAAATCCATACCTTTTGTCATACAACTCCTCCAGAGCTGCCCATTCTGATGATAGAGGACCTGCTTCACTTTGTTTATTCCCAAGAAAACCCTTTACATCCCTCATTTTGAACTACTTTTATGGCCTATTTTGAAAAGAACTTCTGATTTTGTTCGTGAAACGTGAATGTCTTTTACCGGCTTGAGCCTGCATTGAAGTCAGCGGTTCMTGTATCTTCTGAGATTTTATTGTTTGATCACAACATAGTTAAYTATGATCACAAAAAGACAAAAGATTTCCGAAAAGAATAAACGAAAAASCGTATTTCTTTTTTGTATTTCATTTGAGTGAAAAAAGAATATTAAAAAATCTTTTAATTGAAGACATAGATCTCTATGTTGCTAATTTACTCCTGCTATYCAGTAAGGAGAATCCACTATWTCATCATKAGGAAAGTGAGGACGCGCGMGCGCGATRGTTTCCCGCCAATTTTCATTTTGACTCCGTCAGAGGACGAAGGGAGAAGTGRCTGTGTTTTTGCAAAGAAAAAAGTCCTTTGCATGATTTGCTGCTGATAATTGGTGYTATAATGTTTACAAACTAATTTTTTAAAAGCTAAATTTTACAGAAAAACTTGCGACAATGAAAGGAGTGCAGTCTCAAACTCGGCAAGTTTTTGCGAGACAGCCAGGTTGGTGTTTTATTACAAGAACCTSAAGCTTCACTTTTAGATTTGTAAAATTCTTTAATTTACTCTTACTTTATTTGCTTGGTTTACTGTCATTTCGCCCGGGCATTTCGCGAATTATCGTTGAAGTTGTATTTCATAATCTATTGCGCATTTAAGCTTAAACTTATGGTCATTTTTTCGATAAGCTTAAGTCTTTTTTCTTAAAGCTTACTTAAGCTTAACTTAAATTTGAACAATAACACTCAAAGATTGCCTTGGCAGTACATGGGAGGAAAAGTAGCAATTCAAATACTGATTTTATACCTAATTTATTCAAAATAGTTTAGTTKTAATTAGGACTATTTGTTTCATTGATGATGTGCATCTACTCTACCCTATCAACAGCAATTCTTCAATGAATTTATGTAATTTTGTATTTATCAAAATTTTTATAGCTCACATTCTATTGATTGACTACCAGCCTCCCTATGACGCTAATGTTAGTGAATACTTGTACAAGTCTTTAGAGGATCTATTTTCATTGGTCTGTCATATGAGTGGACCATGTCGTACTCCCTTATTTGGATTGTTTGCTTTAGGAGCATATCCTGAGGTAAGGACATAGGCTGTCCAAATATTGCAAAATTCCATATTGATTTAGAGAATAAAGCGCACACTTTTTAT